GGAAGGAACTCAGGGCAGGAACCTGGAGGCAGGAGCTGAAGCACAGGCCATGGAGGAAAGCTGCTTACTGGCTTGCTCCCCTGGCCCCTGCTCAGCCTGCTTTCTTATGCAACACAGGCCCACCTGCCCAGGGGTGGCACCACCCACAGTGGGCTGGGCCCTCCCACATCACTCATCAAGAAGATGCCCCTGAGACATGGCCACAGGCCAGTCCAATAGAGGCAATTCCCCAACTGAGGCTCCCTCAACCCAGGTGTGTCAAGTTGACACTAAAGCCATCCAACACATATGGATTCCTATTTCTGTGGCACTTAACAGCTGCTTACTGCACATAATATCCTCACACAGTTATTTATTTTTATTTTATGTATATGAGTTATGTCTGCATGTATGTAAATGCACACATGTTGTGCAGTGCCTGCAGAAGACAGAAGAAGGTGTTGAATTCCCTGGAATTGAAGTTATAGATGATTGTTAGCCACCATGTGAGTGCTGCGAACTGAACCTGAGTCTTCTGTAAGAAGAGTCAGCGCTCTTTTTTTTTTGGATTTTTAAAGACAGGGTCTCCCTGTAGCCCCAGCTGGCCTAGAACTCAGTATGTAGACCAGGTTGGCCTTAAACTCACAGAAATCCACCTGCTGGGCCTAAAGCCATGTACCACTACGCCCAGTCAGCAGTCAGTGCTCTTAATTGCTGAGCCATCCCTCCAGCTCCACCTCCCCCATGCAACATTTTTTTTTTTTCCGGTCTTCTTTGAGACATGGTCTCCCTATAGCCCCAGCTGTCCTGGAACTCACTATGTAGACCAGGCTGGCCTTGAACTCACAGAGATCCACCTGCCTCTGCCTCCCCAGTGCTGGGATTAAAGGCATGTGCCACCACGCCCAGCTACCCCATGCAAATTTTTAATTTAATTTAATATGTGGCCTCACTGTATTACACAGCATGGTCTTGAACTTATGAAATGAGCCTCCTGCCTCACCCTCCCAAGCAGCTGGGACTGCTATCAATGCAATTTGGGACTATGTGGTGGTAAACTCTCAAATTTAACATGAGGCATTATTACATTTATTTGGATATACCAAAACTGCTTGCAGTTCAATGAGTTGCTGACAAAAGTACTTGTCAAGATACAGAAGTATTTAGAAAGTCCTGTCTATTCCTTTCTAGTCAGTCTCTTCCTAAGTTCCAAGGAAACCACTATTTTTATTTATATTTTGATAGATTAGCCAAGCCTTCATATTTATGGAATTAAAAAATGTTTTTAAAAGACAAGTTTCACAATGAAGCCAGGCTGGCCTGGAGCTCACTAGTCGTCTAGTCTGTGTGTTTCAGGATGGCCTCAAACACATGATGGACTCTCCTATTTCAGCTTCCCAGTGCTGGGATTACAGGCACAAGCCATGCCAGGCTTGGGATTCTATTTTGTGTTTGTCTTCTTTCACTCAATGTATTTTTGTGATTTATCCACATTAGAGTGCTTGTCAACAGTGTTTAAATATTCACGAGAATCTACTTGATGAATATATCACAACTTACAAATTCTTCTGGTGATGACTATTTGGGATGTTTCTGACTTTTTGCTATTTTTAATAAACAAGTCATTAACACTAACTTGGCAATTTTTTTTTCTGTTCCTTAAGAGGATTTAAAAATTTGAACTATAATGCCAGGCATGGTGGCACACACCTTTAGACCCAGCACTCAGAAGGCAGAGGTAGGCAGCTCTCTGTGAGTGTGAGGCCAGCCTGGTCTACATAGTGAGTTCCAGGATAGCTGGGGCTACAGGGAGACCCTGTCTCAACAAGACCAAAAAAAAAAAAAAAAAATTCCTTTATAATACTAACCCATGGTTGTGTAGGAATTTCCTCCAAGATAAAACATTCCACCTTGGAAGGAAGCTCCTTAAAACACAGGATGTTCAAAAGGGAGGTAAAAACTATTCCATCCTGTAGTGAAGCTCCTTGAGCTCAGGAAGTAGATAATTCAAAAGCTTCAGGAAGTCTCTGAAGTTGACCAGATTCACTAGGCCCTAACCTCCCCCAAGCATAAATAAGCAGTGAAGACTGATGGGAGAGACAAACTGAGCTGCCTAGAAGAGGCTCAGATGAGCCAAGCTGCCTAGAAGAGGCTCAAACCAACTCATCAGCCTGGGAAAGACACTCTCCAACTTGTTGATCGGCCTGCAGGTTGTGCAGTGCACTCCAGGTTTCCAGATGTCTTGAGGTGTTATCCAGGCTGAGGTGGATTTTTGGTGACACAGCTCTGTTGCTATTAAGTAGCCCCTCACCCATATATTCCTGTAAGTAACCCAAATAAAACTCATTCATTCACCAAGTTGGACTTTGGTAGTATCCTTACTTTGGTAATGTCATTGGTTTCCTATTTAGGGTGAGATATTTGTTCATGTCTCCCTGGGAACTGAGTCACACAAGATCCATAACCATACACAGAGAATTTTTTATTTGAGATAAAGTCTCATTGTGTAGCCTGGGCTGGCAGCCTGGATCTCACTGTGAAGACCAGTCTGGCCTTGAACTCAGAAATCAAGCTGCCTCTGCTTCCTAAGTGCTGGGATTAAAGGCATGTGCCACCACGCCCTCCACAACCATATTTTCTTAAAGACTTTCATTTTTTTACTTATTGTAGTAAAATATGTATAACATAAAACTTACCTTTTAAACAATTTTTAGTAGTATTAAGTATATTTATATTTCTGTTTAGATATTAATTTCTTATGCCAGTATCTCTTTTTTAAAATTTTTATTTCTTATTTTTATATGTATGTGTGTATTGCCTTCATGTAGTTAAGTGCACCTGTGTCGTGCAATGCCTGTGGAGAACAGAAAAGACTGCTGGATCCCCTGGGACTGGAGTTACAGACAATTGTTAGCTGCCATGTGGGTGCTGGGATTCAAATCTGGGTCTTCTCCAAGAAGAACCAGTGTTCTTAACCACTGAGCCATCTCTCCATACTAGTATCTCTTAAACTAGAATTTTTAGAATCATTTACCAGGTTTCAACATTTTTTTTCTCCTTTAAAAAGGATTCACACATCACTCAGATTAGGAATCAATGTAGTGGCTGGAGAGATGGCTTAGCAGTGGTTAAGAACATTTACTGCTCTTGCAGAAGACTGGAGTTCTGTTCCCAGCACTTTCATCAAGCCACTCACAACCACATGTACTGCCAGTTCCAGGGTATCCAGTGCCCTCTCCCCTCTGTGGGTACCTGCACTCACGTGGTGTGCATAAATTCATACCCACACATAAATTTTTTTAAAAATCTTAAAAAAATTATTCTAGGAACTGGTAAAATGGTTTGGTAGGTAATCTGAGTTCAATCTGTGGAACACACATGAAGGTGGAAGGAGAAAACAGATTCCACAATGCTGTCTTCTGACCTGCACACTTGCAGCACATAGGCATGTGCACACACAGAGTAATGATTTTTTAAAAATCTTTAAGAACTGCCTGCCTCTGTCTCCCAAGTGCTGGGACTAAAGGCATGGCCCACCACGCCTGGCTTGCTTTTAAATTATTAAGAAGTAGGTATTAGGAAGTTTTAAATGAACTATTAAAATTTCTTAAAGTCATACATTGTAGACTAAATATAGACGAATTTAATCTAAATAAGAACATCCATTTTGAGTAACAAGACCGAGCATATATATTCACTACATATATACACACATACAGGCCTGACTGGCCTGGAGCTGCTATGTAGACCAGACTAGCCTTGAGCAGAGATGGGCCTGCCTCTGCTTCCCCAGTGCAGGGATTAAAGGCGTGCGCCACCAAGGCCGGCCCTCGACAGATATTTTTAAATACATACAATGTTGCAGGGAATTATGCTAATCACTGTGAATTATCTATAATGTAGCTATTATCACCTCACGTTACCGAAGTTCAAAGTAATGAAGAAACTTAAGAAGGTTGTAACGTGAGCGGGATAGGACTCAAGTCAGGCTCAATCCAAAGGTCCTGCTCCTAAGGATACCGCATACTGCTTCCCAAGTAGCACATTCTATTTTACATTGTTGGTGCCCCCACCTCCCGCCCCCGGGATTCTTTCTGGGAGAATGCCCAAGCCTATTCCCCAACGGAGTGGAACTCTTGTTTCCTAACCAACTTACCACCAGCACGTTCGCCCTCTGGGTAGAATTCTACCCCACCTTCCGCGCCCAGGTCCTTGCAGAGCCTTTTCCCCGTTCCCTGGTGACCTCAGCGGCGCCCCGAGCTCTGCACCTAGGTCGCCGGCAGAGCCTGGTCCCTCACCACCTAGCAGTGGCCAACTCCTCACTCCAGTGATCCCACCGCGTCGCTGCCCCAAACCCCAAACCCTAGTCCCCCCGCAGAACCCCCGGACTCTGAGATCCCTGTGCCCCAGTTGAGAGAGCAAAGCTTCTCAGGGACTCCTTACCGTGATATCGTGGTCGGGTCCCGAGCGACAGCCAACCTCTCCCTACAGTGGCGCCCAACCCACCCATCATCTTTTTCTGCGTCCTAGTGTCTTCCCACAACTTCTCCACCCATCTCCTGGCCGTTTCGGTTCCCGGGTCCCCCAGAAAACTCACGCAGGGCCTCTATTCTGAGTGCCTCCAAGGGTTGGCTCCACACTTTACCTCTCGCTGCCGCGGACTGCGACCTACTACTGTTCAGCGCCGCTGCGCTGGCCAGCCGGGAAGCCGCCCGGGCGAGTGGGCAGCCGAAGCTCCGCCCCTGCATCCCCATTGGCTGCCGTTCTCCGAAGGTCCCGCCCCTCAGGCTCGCAGCCCGCCTCTCCGCCCCGCTTCCCTTGTTTTCATTCCCTCTGTCACACGAGGCAGTGGCAAGCCCGGAGTGGGAGGGGAAAAGTGGAAGAGGGAAGGGGGCGGGAAGAAGGCGGAAAGTGGAAGGCCCCGAGAGCCTCTCTGTCTCCAATTTGGCTCGGTTCTCGACTGCTCCGGGCTGCCGTGGTATTGTGGGATCGCGGCGCCCGTCCCCAGCGCTCGCATCCGCAGGGGAGTCCACTCGAGAGCGCCTCCTGTCGTCCCCAAGGCTGCGCTGCCATTCCTCGGTCCCCCCCCAACTCCTCCCGCCCCCCCATCGCCTCCTCCTCCATCCTCCAGTTCAAAATGGCGACGGCGGCGGCAGCGGTAGCGGTGGCGGCGATGGCTCCTCCGGGCTGCCCGGGTGCGTGCCCCAACTTCGCCGTGGTCTGCTCCTTCTTGGAGCGCTACGGGCCGCTGCTAGACCTGCCCGAGCTGCCGTTCCCGGAGCTGGAGCGGGTGCTGCAGGCGCCGCCGCCGGACGTCGGCCACGGAGAAGGTAAGCGAGCGGCCCGAAAGCCCGGCGGAAAGCGGCCCTGGCGCGCTCCTGCGCCCCGCACTTCCCCGACATCCTGGGGCGGTGCGGCCCGACTCTGCGCCTGGGGCTCGGCTCCGCCGGATTTGCCCGCTCCGTGTCGCCCGCGGGGGTCCTAGGCGCTGGGGAGGCGGGGCGGAGGCCCCCTCGGGCCGCCGAGCTCCGCGAGGACAGTGGTGGAGGCGTCGCGGGCCCGGAGTCGGGGCCCGGGAGGGGGCATTGTGCGGGGCGGACGCTCCGGGGCCCGCTCCCCGAGCGCCGTGGTCGGCCCCCCAGCCCTGCTCCCTTTGGGTGGCGGGGGAAGGGGAGCGCAGGTTCCGGCCAGCTTTGCGCTTTTCTCCTCCCCTCCTCCCACCAGTCCCCCCCCCGCGGTCTCCGGGGAGGCTGGGCCCATCTTCTCCGGTCGCCCCCTCTGCTCACTCCACCTGAGTGGGCGGGGGCCGGCGGACACTTTCTCTCCTCCTCTCTCCTCTCTCTCCTCTCTCCTCTCTCCTCTCTCTCTCTCT